TTGAGTATCAGATTGTTCCATCTCATTTCCCTTTGGGGTTGCCTTAGGTGATCTGGAAGTCTGGTTTTGAGACTTATTTATGTGTCTTCTCTTTTCAACAGATGCAGCCTGCTATGCCTTTTTTGAGGCAACATTTTGCTCATCCAGTGGTCTTCAATTCTTAGCCAGCCAACAAGCAACCTTTTCTCTGCTGCTCACCAGTGTACCAATTCCTGGGTTCACAATGGTTGCCTTCTGGGTTCCTGAGCTGACCTGTTGTCTGGGTGGGCTTCTGGCTGGGGCCTGTGCACAGTTGGGATGGTATCTAGACATTTCTCTGTCTACTGCCTGCCTCCCTATGTAGCTGTTGTCCAGAAAGGCCTTTGGCTGGGAGTAGTGCACCCCAGACCCTGGTGTCTGAGCAGGCTTCTGGCTAGGGTCTCCACACACTTACTGATGGTATGGGGCAGGCCTCTGGCTGATGCTTGTGCACCTGTGCAGCTCTTTTCTGGCCTGCCCTTTGGCTTGGGCTTGTGTGCCCAAGCCACTGGTGTCTGGGAAGTGCCCTGGCTGTGATCTGCCTGTAGCCACACAGCTCTGGTCCACACTGCTGCTCGCTGGAATCTGTGCGCACTTACCACTCTTATGCACTCTTCCACATCTCATCTCCATCCTACCACTTCATGTATAAACCAATATTTTACTGCCCATTGTATTAATGTCATTTTATATATCTTTTGTACAAACAGTATGGTTATATACTTCCTTGTTTGTATCTCCTCATACACACATATAAGAATTTCTTTCAAGTGTGTACTTTGATTGCTGAGTTATCATGAACATGTGTGGACAGCTTTTTACATTTTTGCCAAACTGATGGGTGGGACGTGTTTTAGTGTGATTTTTTTGTGCTGCTGTTATAGAGAACCAAACACCAGGAGATTTGTAATGGAGAGAAATGTATGGGTTAATGCCTCTGTGTGCTGGAAAGCCCAAGCTTGAGGGACCAATGTCTTGCTGCAGCATCCTGTGGTAGGAAGGCAAAGGGAGGGCCAGAGAGAAAGAACAAGATGTGGCTGAACTTGTCCCTTTATAAAGCAACCTTCTGCAGTAATGGCACTAATCCATTCATGAGGGCAGTGACCTCATGACCCTACCCCCAAACACTACCACTTTGGGGGACAAATTTAACCACAGGAGGACTCCCTTCTTGTAGTTGTAATTTGCATTTCCCTGGTTACTCATCAGAGCACACATCTTTTGTTTAGTGACCATGTATGCTTCTCAGTTCATTAATGCACTTACAGAGAAGATAAATGTATCCAAAACTTTCAGTTGGTTCCAGTGGTCCCTGAGTGTCTTTTCTGGCAAATTTTTAAGGTGACTTAAAGTTTATTTTTGTTTTTTAATAATAAATTTAGTTTTCTGGATTTGGAATAATATATTTTCATTTAAATTTTTTGCCTTTAGTCCCTCTGTGTATCAGAAAGGTTTTAGTCCCTAGGACCAGAGTCAGTAGGGTGTGTGTGTGTGTGTGTGTGTGTGTGTGTGTGTGTATGCATATATGTGGATGCACACATATGTGCTTTATTTAAAGGAACTGGCCACATAGTGGCAGAGGCTGCTAAGCCAGTCTGAAGTTTGTAAGGCTTGCAATCAAGGCTCAAATTCATAGGCCAGAGCTGCTGTCCACAGACACTGAGGAAAGTCACAAGCAGGATGGATCTTCAGGGGCATGGGTAGAAGCTGCTGTCCATAGAAGGATTTTTTTTTTTTTTTTGTCTTTTTTTGGAAAACATAAGCCCTGCTTTGAGGAATTGCTAACTGGTTCAGGCCCCATGAATTCTCCAGGATAATATGTCTTTCTTGAACCTAAGTGATTAAGGACATTGAATACATGTGGAGAGACACCTTGGAAGCAGTATATAGATTATGTTTGAGTGAATATCTGAGGCCTGTAGTCTATTAAAGATAACTCATCAAAAAAGCTGTCTCTCTGGGGCCCAGGATTTAGCTCAGCGGTTTTGCCACCTGCTTTGCAAGCACAAGGACCTGAGTTCGATCCCTGGTACCAAAAAAACAAAAAAAGCTATCTCTCTGAAAACTTTTCTGGAAATTACATGGATGAATTCTCCAGAGAAGCAGCACAAAATTGTGACAAATGTAAGAGTAAGGAGACACTTGCCAATAGAACTATAAACCAAATAAAATATTGACTAGATCAGTGAAACAGAAGGAGAATACAGAAAATAGGGCCCAAGATATATTTAAAAATTTAAAACTAAACCCTAAACTAAACTAGTTTTAATTTAATGAGGAAGAAAACAGTTTATCTCATAAATGTTATTGCCAAGCTATCCATATAGAAGAAAGTAAAATTGGACTCCATCTTACACCATATACCAAAATATCCACCTATATTAAAGCAGTGATTTTCAACTGGGAGTGGTATTAAATATCTAGGTAAATTTTTTATTTTTGCAGTGACTGTGTGGTTCTTCTAAAACTTACGGGGCTAGGAATTGTCAAATGTACTCCCACTGAACAACATTACATTAAAGATTGAAATATAAAAAAAAAGGGCTGGGGATTTAGCTCAGTGGTTTCGCCACCTGCTGCACAAGTGCAAGGACCCAAGTTCGATTCCCAGTACCAAAAAAAAAAAAAAAAGAAAGAAAAAGAAAAAACAAAATCTCCTGTAATGAAATCTAGAAGACTACATGTATAGTCTTCGGACATGGAAGATCCTAACCAAAACTAGACTCAAGAGGGTGAAAGAGCAAACTAGTACATGTTTGTGTACAATTTTAAAATGTTTAAATAGTAAAAGCTAATATAATCAGTAGACAAATGGCCGATCTCATGAAGAGTATTTTCATAGCACAGGTGACAAAAGTATAAGGGACTTACAAATTGACACAGGAGACAGCTTAGAAAAAACACATAGGCAATGTATGCAAAGAGATTTTCACACAAGAATAGATCCAACTATCCTATATGCAGGACAGAAATGTTCAAATGATAGTTGTGGAAATAAAAATTAATGTAATAAAGTCATAATGAATATTACTTTATGTGTGTTTGACTTGCAAAAAGTGAAAAGAGCAAGAATATTTGTTGCTCTGATTCTTGAGGACTTTTTAGTTTTATATGTTCTTGTTACTTTTTCTTTTACTTCTGCCACCATGTTGTCTTCTAGTAAAATCTTCTCTTTTTAGTTTCTCTAAAAAAGGCAATGTTACATTGTGAAAGAGTATGGGATATATCTTTGATATCTTTGAGATTTATTTAGTTTCATGAACTTGTTGAAAGTCACAAATGTGCAGTTTCATCAGCCAAGATGGAAAGGATGATTCTAATATGTCTGCCAGCTGTATGGTTTATGGAACAGTTTTACACACTGCTCTTTAAAATACATTTTCCCCTCAGGAACATTTGAATGAAGCAAATGCTGCTCTGGATTCAGCATCAAGACTTACAGAACAGTTGGATCTAAAGGAAGAAAAGATTGAAGAACTTAAAAAACAAAGTAGGTTTTTCCCTTTTCCTTTGTTCTCCCTGGCAGTGCCCTTGTTGAATCAGGTGTACTCTTCTGCCATGCTTTGGCACAGCTGAGTGAAACCATTGGTGTGTGGCTTCCATTTCCATCTTTTATAACAGATTTGCTTCATTTTTTGTCTTGTGAAACCAGAGTTATTACGGTGGCCCTGGCTGTCCACGTAGTTTTCCTGGATGTTGAGAAAAATGCTGTTTTGTTCCTTGTTACTCTTGATAATGAACGAAGTCAACTTGACTGATCCAGTTTTTATGGTTATGGCTTCTCCTTGATCAGTTCATATGCATCCTACCTGAGGCTGTCTTATTTATTATAGAGGGCAATATTCTCAAGTAAAAAGGAATAACTTTTTGTGAAATGAAGTGTCTGCATAGGGCCAGGGATTTAGTTCAGTGACTCTGCTGCTGTCTCAAAAGCGCAAGGGCCTGAGTTCGATCCCTGGTACCAAAAAAAAAAAGTGTCTGCATATAGCTAGGTTTTAAAAAATTTTTGTTTAAATTTTCATTCTTTATTCTTTGTATCAATATGTTAAGAAATTAAAATTTTCCTAATACTGGTTTATAGATAATATTTAAAAGTGACACCAAAAAAAGTGCACGTTCTCAAAGTAATATTGAGTAATCTCTTTAAATGCAATTTTAATTCTTATTTTAAATAAAGGAAATACTAAATACGATAAGCTACATACACACAAAACCTGTATATCCTGAACTATTAAAAGAGTTTTTAGCCATATATGTTTTTATTCAAGTACACATTTCCATAATAAGTACTTACAGATACATTGATAGAAAACTACTCCACATGCTTATCTTGCCATGAGCCTTTTAAGCATCACTATTCCTACTACTGAAAGCACTTATTTTTAGAAGCTTTAATCTGATCTGGGAAAATGAGTTCTCCTAAAACTTAGCCTGGCTACCTGGTTTTTTCCTAAGTAGGTTTTTATGATTGTAAATGGGGCTTTACATGCAAACTCTGATCATGTTTTTCTTTCTGCCTTTCTTTCTTTGATGCTAGTAATATATCCCATAGGCCCTATCCATTCCCTAAGATGAGCTCTGTGTTTCAGATTGTCAGTGAGACAGGGAGTTCATGGGGCTCTTTTGAATCTAACAGCTGACAATGGTGGCATAACCACTTAATCTCTGATTTAAGATGACCCGAAGTTGAAGCCATTCCAGGGCTGCATTTAGTAGGTAATGATTCAAGGTGACTGGAAAGGTGATAATGGAACCTAGCAATTCATCAACTTTAAGTGTCCATGTTGGCACAGCAATAACAAGGCATATAATTAAGGAATTAGAAACACATTCTACCCAACATAAAATGGAATTTAGAAATAGGCAAAAAGAGGAAGTGAAACAGCAGAGATACTGTCAAACCAAGAAGAATGACGTGGACCCTAAGGAGGCAAGTAGGTAAGAGCCATTGAGCGTGGATGCTAAAGGAGAAGGTTAGCTCACCTAAGTGCAGAAGACAGGAAATGGGAGATTTTTAGGATTACACATAATAGTAGTTATAGGCACAAGGTAGTTGTCCTCAAAATAACTTATTCTAAGGTACATTACTGGGCAACTGAAAGTCCTTTATAAGAATTGACCAGCCTAGGAACTCTAAATCTAGGGAGGGCCTGGAAATGAGCAGCAAAGAAGCAAGATACAATCAGTATCTATTACGGATACTCAATGTAAAAGACTGTATTGTATTATTTAGTCTCATTTTATTTTATTTTATTTTTTTTTGAATGTGTATTCTTTTATTTCCTTCAGACTCTACTGAAATGTTTTTTTTAATTAAATTCTTTTATTGGTACATTGTAGGTATACAACACAATTACATTTCTCATTGGGAATTGTACCTTTACATAATGCATCTTGGTTCTTATTTTTTCC